AGTCCCCCGGGACGGCCAAGAGGCCCCTAAGACGCAAAAGAGGCGCAAGAGAGCCCCAGGACGACCCCAAGAGCGCCCAAGAGTGCCCCAAGAGCGCCCCAAGAGGGAGCATTCATCTGCGTGCTGCCCGCTCCCCTGATCGAGCAAATCCTCTGGGCATCGTCTCTGGATGGGCTGGTGGGGTGACGCGAAGCGTCTAGGTTGCCACTGTCATGGCCTCCTGGGATGTCCAGCGGAGCAGATTCTATGGAGAACCCATCGGCACAGTCGACTCGCATGGAGAAGGGGCTGGGTACGTCTCGAGCAGGTTGACAGGGACGGCGAGCGGGCCGTCAGGATGACGCTACGCACAGGCCTGACATCCCTTCAGGCACCGCTGCAACCTGGCAGCCCATCGCTTCGAACTAGTTTTTGACAGGGCTGGCGGGAGCGCGTGCTGTGACGTGCGCCTGCGCACACTGGCGCTCCCTGCGCGCGGCGCGCACGTGGCGCACCTGACGCGGTGGTAGACGTGACACACACACACAAACACATGCGCACACACACACACACGCACACACGCACGCACGCACACAAACACGCACGGACGCACGCACGCACGCACACACACACAAACACACACACATAATACAAATACATGTGTTGCGTCGGCGGCTGGGCAGAGGGCGACTGCTCCGGCGGAAAGGCAGCAAGGGGCACGCTGTATGCAAATTAGAGCCGCGATGCACCGAACACACACGACCACACTCGCACCACACACACACACGCACGCACGCACGCACGCACGCACGCACACACACACACAGAGACACACAGACACACACACTCTCACGCTGGGCGCATTTGCAGCACGTGGCACGCCTGCCTATGCTTAGACTCAGGTTCGCGGCGCTGGGAACTTGACCCCTGCCCCTACCCGCGCCGCCCCCCCCCCGCCCCTGGGACTAACAGGAAGACGACCAAAGACGAGAGGACTGAGCTGACCAAAGACGAGGGACTAACAGGAAGATGACTAAGAGGACTCGCGCGGTCAAAGATGATCAAAGATGGCCCCACGTTGGCCTTGCATAGCCGAATCAAGCTCAAGATTACCAGTGATGGCTCAGTATGCCCGCCAACCTGCCTCCAATAGGCCGCTAGACCATCCCCCGAAAGGGCTCCAAGTTCCAACTGAGCGTCCCAAGGAGACCCCCGATGTACCATGAACCAGGCGAGGCCCCAATTGAGGGCCTTCTGCTCCCCAAAGCAGTTCAACGCTCATTGCCTGACCACACCTCACGCTGTGTCTCAAAGCCTTCGACGTGCAGAGTACTGACTGGAAGCGAACCTGCATCATGGCACCCGACGAAAGCAACAAGGAGCCGAGAGCAAGGACGCCTGGGACGGCGGCGAGCAACCGAGATCAAGGTCACCGAGAAAGGCACCACAGAGCCACGGCCGAGGAGCCTGGGGAAGGGAAGGACCCGAAAGACCCGAGGAAGGCAGCAGAAAACCAAGACCAAGGCACCCGATGATCGTAACAGGGAACCAGGACCACGGAACCGAGGAATGTCGAGAGCCGCCAAACTAAATCGGCCCCACACGCATCTGACCCTCTTCCTGGCGACACGCAGGAGTCCATAGATGAGCCCACAGTAATACATGCACATGTGCAACAAACCTAGTTCCAACGAGTTACCCCATGTTAATGCTTGCATTTAGGGGTTCTTACTCATATCGGGGGCGGCCAGTAGGGGGGCGCCCAAGAGGGGGGGGGCGCAAATCATGGCCGGCGGCATGTGCGTGGCCCAGGGACGTGATCAAATAGGAAGAGGCGCCATGAGATCTGCGGAAATATCATGGCCCACGCCACGATATCCCCCCCCTAGTCATCACCCCCCTCTTTGCCGCCCCCGACCCATGCCAATGCTTGCATTTAGGGGTTCTCTTACTTGTCGTCCGTACAGTTACGTCGGGCGTGTCCCCCTACAGGGGGATTTAGGCAAAAAATAAGCAAATAGTCAAACAATTCCCCCAAATGGACAAAAACAATTCAAAACAAATAGTCCCCAGACGATTGCTTGACCATGTTTTGAAGCTTTCCCCTGTAGAGGGACAGGCCCGACTTGACCTTACACTAATCTGTCGGTAGCCTGGCTTTCGCCACGCTACGGCCTCGGGGATCTTCTGACCCGGGTCAATCCAGACCCGGGTCAGCAAGAAACCAAAAACTTCAATGCAAGAGAAAAAAACTGCAACGCAGGCCTTCGCAAACCCGGGCCAAGTGCGGCCGCCTCGCGGCCACGAGCGGCTCGCTGACCCGGGACAGCCAGAGGGGGTCTTCGCAGGATCCTGCAGGATCTGGCGCTCTGGCTGACCCCCGTTTGCATTGACCCCCGTCTCAAGGCTCCCGACGGCCCGTGTCGCCTCCATCGCCAGGTAAAACAGGGCTAGGATCTGAATAAATCGCTCCAGAGCGTTCCGGAGCGCTCTGGAGCGGCCGCGGCGCCCAATACATCCTCCAAAGCCGCCGATTCTCAGAGATTTCGAGTTATCTCGATCCGATTTTGTCCCGATTTTCGCGTCGTTTTACCAGGGGGGGGAGGGAGGGGGGGACGTCCCGGAGGAGAAGGAGGAGAAGGAGGACGATGCAGGACTATGCATGACGGGCGACAACGACAGTCGACGCCTATTATAATCAGGACCCCGCTGGATGGCGCTCGTGATCTTTTCTCGGCCTCCCGCAGGGCGTCGCATCACTTTGCCATTTACGCCACCAGCGGGGCCCCCGAAACTGGGCAAAACCAGACGAGTTAGTAAGCGAATTGTGAGATCTCTGCATCACGGACATGCTGCGGGGGCCCCCCCACGTGCGGGTATAAACCTCGGGCGATCCTCGCGAGATTTTGCGCACCCTTGGGGGAGGCCCTGCATCTTTCAACCAACCACCTTGGGTCGGACGTGGCGGTCTTGCCACACACCGTGCAAAACGTTAAACCAAAACGGCCCCAGAAGGAAAGCTTGTGGCTCGCACACAGCAATTTCCCCGCGACAGTCTGGGGGCCGCGGAGCGGTGAGATGCCCTGGCCACGGGGCTTGGGGCAACACCTAGAGAGGCACCCAGACCGAATGGACTCCCTGGTCTCGAATTGGGAGCAAACCGAACAGAAAAACTTAGAACCCATCTTCCGCCACTGATGCTCGCTGGCACGAAGACTCCTGGTCAGGATGGGGAGCCGCAGGACCCCTGGGGCCTCAGGTCGAGACGCGGTCCACGGATCGGCCAGGATGCTCGCGACAAGAGCTCTCCGAGCTCGACGTCTGACCAGGGCAGCCTCGGCATCGCGGCGGTCGGTGTCGGGATTCGTGAGGCCGCAGCGCCTGCTCGCTTGGGCGCCTAGGCCCGCGAGTGCGTCGGCACACGCGTTGCCAACAGCATATCGAAACGCTTCCTCGAGGAGGAAGAGATGGAGGAGGAGGGGGAGGAGGAGGAGGAGGAGGAGGAGGAGGAGGAGGAGGAGGAGAGGAGGAGGAGGAGGAGGAGGAGGAGAGAAGGACGGAGAGGGGGGGGGGGCCGGGCGAGGCCGCGCCGCGCGGACGTCCAGGGAGGCCTCGGGAGCGCCCTCGCCGGCGCCGCGGGCTCCGAGACACCTCGCGGCACGGCTCTCGCCACGCAGCGTGCACGGCGTCCACCGCCCGTGCTGCACGGCAGACTCTACACCTCGTGGCTCGCACCTCATAGCCTGCACATCCCATGCACACCGCCCTGCTTCCACGACAGAACTTGCACCACGCAGCTTTCACCACGCAGCACGCACCACAGAGCCTCCACCGCCTGGTCCGAGCTTCTTGAGAAGCGTCGGGGGGGGGGTCACCCCCGCCGACAGCCCCACGTCGACACCCCGTCACGAGCAGCCACCGCGCGCCGAAGGCGCTCCGACCCCCGTCGCGGCGCGCCGACGAGTGACCCCCGTCGAGTGAGTACCCCCCACGCTTGTTAAGAAACCCAGCGTATGTTACACGACAGACTTTACACCTCGAAGCTCGCACCTCATAGCCTGCACATCCTATTCACACCGCCCTGCTTCCACGACAGAACTTACACCACGTAGCTTGCACCCTCTGTTGGTCACGTCATCGGCTCAACATGGCTTCAACCACGTAACTGACGCCGCAAAGCAGCATACCGTTCACATCCACATTGCACATAACGCGCTGTTTGTGGTCCACGCTGGCTGGTATTGTATTCGCTCCGTGACGGCCTCCAAAGCGTCCTGAGAGGGCCCACAGGGGTGAGGTTTCGGGCTCAAAGCGTGGCAAGGCTAATCGGCGACGCCCCCTCGTTTGATCGATGTCCTCCAAGATGACCCCAAAAGGGTTCCGAAAATCCCCAAATGAACCCAAAAGAACTTCAACAACATTCCAAACCATGAGAGCGAAAGACCCGCGAAGCCCTTCATGGTTGTCTTCTGCCGTCGTCATCTTCCTCCTACGTCTCCTCCTCCTCCTCGTCTTCATTCGCAACGGCATTGTCACCCCATTCCTCCCCCATCATCATCCTGCTCCTGCTCCTGCAATTGCTCCACATCCTCCCCATGTTCCTCCATCGCCTCGTCCTTTTCACCTGCGTGCTCATCTTCCGTTCCAACCATTCCGCTCGCTGGCATGCTCAGGCTAGTTCCGAGCTTCGGCTCGACGGCTGACTCACCTGCATGTTGCACTGGATGCTCCTACAGTCCCCTGATCAGGGCAACTCGCTTGACGACCGTTGGAGGATCGGCTCCTTGGCACACTTTTTTGGTCGCGGCCGCAGGCGAGAGCGCAAGCGGCGAGTCGTAAGTCCGGGGCGCGGGCCTACGAATTGACAACAGGAGCAAACTAGAGCCGCGCACCTATACTGCCTAAGCTGCCTAACAGCTCCTTGGCGCACGCGAAGCGTCAAGAACTGCGTTCACGTGCCCGTCCGAAATTACACTCTTGACGGGCGGGCCCCGATGCTCCCCCCCACCCCCGCGGCAGTCCTCCATTGCCTCGAGGCATGCCTGGCAGGATCGGGCGCCGGCTGCCTTCCCATCCTTGCCCCACCCAAGCCCTCCCCCACCCAGTCCGCCTCATTCCTCGCCTGCTCCCTATCCCATCCTCGTTGTCCTGCGCCTGCTCCTGATCCTCGGTTCTTCCTCCTCCTCCTCACATTCACAGCGCCTTTATCTCCTCCTCCTCGTCCTCCTCCTCCTGATCACCATCACCATCACCATCACCATCACCATCACCATCACCATCACCATCACCATCACCATCACCATCACCATCACCATCATCATCATCATCATCATCATCATCATCATCATCATCATCATCATCATCATCATCATCATCATCATCATCATCATCATCATCATCCTCGTCCTCGTCCTCGTCCTCGTCTTCATCCTCCTCCTCCTCATCATCATTAGCACCATCCTCATTAGCATCATCCTCATCATCAGCAGCATCAGCAGCATCATCACCACCATCACCATCACCATCGCCATCACCATCACCATCATCATCAGCATCATCATCACCATCACCATCATTATCTCCATCACGATCATCGTCATCATCATCACCATCACCATCACGATAAACATCACCATAATCATCACCATCACCAACCATCACCATCATCACCATCACCATCACCACCATCATCATCATCAGTAGCAGTAGCATCAGCATCAGCATCAGCATCAGCATCAGCATCAGCATCAGCATCAGCATCAGCATCATCACCATCACCATCACCATCACCATCACCATCATCATCATCATCATCATCATCATCATCATCATCATCATCATCATCATCATCATCAACATCATCATCATCATCATCATCATCATCACCCTCATCATCGTTCCCTTTCCCTCCTCCACCCGCTGTCGGCCCTGTACCAGCTCGAAGATGCACGACGACGCCCACAGCATCAAACCCCGTCGGTGAGACGACACCGGCGCCACGCCCGCGCCAGCCGTCGCCGTCACCGCAAACGGCTCGTGCTCACTGCGCGCGGGCGGCAAGGAGAGGCCCGCCCCCCTCCCCTCGTCAGAGCCGCCGCGGAGAAGCCTGCGCGGCGTGGGGGCCCGCCGACCTCTTCGGCGCAGGCCCGCGGCGGCGGCGGCAGGAAACAGCACGGGGGCACCGTGCCGCTGGGGCCTCTGAGCCCGGACCCCGGCCGAGTGGTCTGGCCGCGTCGGGGGCGACCTCGTCTCCCGAGGCGGCCGCGGAGGCCTCCCTCGCCATGCCTTCTCCCCGGCCGGTTCCTCTGCGGGGCCCGCGGGTGCCCTTAGGTCGGGCGTGTCCCCCCACAGAGGGGAAGTGTAGACGAAAAATCAAGCCAGATTCAAGAATCTGCAGAAATAGCAAAAATACTAACAAACATCGTCCCCATACTTTTTGTTGTGTTCTTTTTGTGAGTTTTGCATATTCCTCCTGCAGAAGGACATGCCCAACATTAAAGATGCACGCCGCCACCAGCAAGTCACGCAGAAAGGAGCGCAGTAGATCAGCAGTAAATCGCTCGCGCAGGCATCCTGGCAGGCCGCCGCGGCGTGCCTCCGCCCAGCGGGGTCACCCGTCGGGTGGTCGTACGCGCAGATGGCGGCCGCATCTGGTCGAGAATAACTGCAGCCAGGCACTGTATTTAGAATAAAAACAAACGCCATAAACATAAACTTTTGGCGTTCCGCGCGGATTTCTTGGATCCTCGCTGAGCCACCCGCCCTGGCGCGCGGAGCGCGCCAAAGGCGGCGCTGGAGGCGCCGCCGGGGGGGCCCAGCGCGGATCCAAGACACCCGCGCGGAGCGACAAAAAGTTTATGTTTATGTGGCTTCCTTTTCTGTTCGCAAATTTCCCACTCGCGCGCGGACCGGCAAGGGGAGCTCCCTCTGCGCGGGAACCTGCGACGCTCGCTGCGCGGTGGCGACTCTCAGGGCGCAGGAGTAAGAACCCTGGGAGCAACACAGGACACATCACTTTGGATGGTACGCTGGAGCTCAACTAGAACTGTGGTGCCAAAGTTCGGGCGGAAAGCCTGAGTTTCAGCTGCTGCTGAATCGGCCGCCTGGTTATGTCAGGTGCAATATTGGCATTTTCCATGGGAGCCTGGAATGTCCTGATGACTCGTTATCTGGGCAGCTTCGGTTAAAAGGCGGATGCTGTCGGGAGCGACCGCGAGCTTGCGATGACCATACTATTCAAGCGCGTATAAGGGAGGCTTCAGAGTCCCGTCCTGACTGCACACCGCCACCGACCATGTTGCCCACTCAAGCCTGGGACACCTGCTCTGCTGCATGACCCGTCTGTGCCCGCGAAGCCTACGAAATCGCGCGCAGCGCCACCATGCCCATCGCGACTGCGGAACTTGACCCTCGATGGAACAGTGGGGGAGACGTCGCGCTGCCCGCCCATGTGCCGGACGCGATCCTCTGGCGTGTCCAGCGCCCATGCGAGCGCCCTCGGGAAACATGTCGGTCTTGACGGAGACGGCCTTTGGGCGCTGGCAAACATGAAGCCTGCGGTGAGTCGTGCAACCTGGATGCCCGCCAAGGGAGATTCAGCACGCTTTTCCCGACTGGAAAAAAACCGTGGGTTCGATCCACCAGCCCTGGGCCGCGAGCGTCTCGATGGCGCCCCAGCAAGCCGGAGGAACCTTCTAAACTGTGGGCCCAAGGAAAATTAGCCTGACGAAGGACCCAACCATCTGCAGGCGCGAGTGCCGCAATAGTGATTCACTTTTTCGGTGGCGATCCCTATGGGGCAACGAACCGTGCTAGGGGCGTGCCGACATGAGTGGCGTGGTACACAACGCGAACGAAAACGATTGATCTGAGTACGTAGGGAGACTGAGCGCGGGTGAATATGCGCGCGTGCGTCTGACTGTGAATTAGTCTGCGTGCGAGCGAGTCTACGTGCATGAATGCGAATATGACAAAGCGTGGTGCAATTGTGAATGGATGTCAATAATTTGAAGATGATTGCCTCTGAGTACTCGTGACGCTGGGCGTGGCCGCCGCAAGGAGCTTCCCCGGGACTCCCCGACGGCATCGCCCGCGTGCCGCTACGCCAATGTCGGCGCGCCCCCCCGCGAGGATCGCGCCCGCTTCCTCCCCTTCCTTTACTCCCTCTTTGCCCGCGCACTCAAAAGTCCAAGGCTGCGGGCGCAGCGCAGCGCGGAGCCCCCGCGACGCGCGCAGGTCGCCCCAGAGGGGTCCCAGCGACGCGCGCGGGTCGTCCACTGCGCGGAGCAAAGAGAGCTAGCTGGCTGGCTGATAGCGGGCAAGGCTCTTGCCGCTGGGCAGAGCGACGACGGGCGAGCGAGGCGCTGGGCAGAACGCAGCACGGAGCCCCCGCGACGCGCGCAGGTCGCCCCGGAGGGGTCCCAGCGACGAGCGCGGGTCGCCCGCTGCGCGGAGCAAAGAGAGCTAGCTGGCTGGCTGGGACCTGCGGTGGGGCTCCATATGGGGCCACGCAACGCTGTACTGGGCAAGGGAGACGCATGCGGACTGCGCCACGGGGACCTTCGGTGGAGTTCCCTATGGGGCCACGAGACGTGTGAGGGGTGTGCCGAAATTAATGGCGGAGACGCGTGCGGACTGTGCCGATGGGACCTTCGGCGGAGCTCCTATGGGGCCACGAAAAGTGTGAGGGGTGTGCCGGAATGAATGGCGGGGACGCATGCGGACTGCGCCATGGGGGACCGTCTGTGGAGTTCCTATGGGGCCACGAAGCGTGTGAGGGGTGTGCCGACATGAGTGGCGGGAGCGCATGCGGACTGTGCCACCGGGACCTTCGGCGGAGTTCCCTATGGGGCCATGAGACGTGTGAGGGGTGTGCCGACATGAATGGCGGGAACACATGCGGACTGTGCCACGGGGACCTTCGGCGGAGCTCCTATGGGGCCACGAAACGTGTGAGGGGCGTGCTGAAATAAATGGCGGGGACGCATGCGGACTGTGCCACCGGGACCTTCGGCGGAGCTCCTATGGGGCCACGAAGCGTGCGAGGGGTGGGCCGACATGAATGGCGAAGACGCATGCGGACTGTGCCACGGGGACCTTCGGTGGCGGTCCTATGGGGCCACGAGACGTGTGAGGGGTGTGCCGACATGAGCGGTGCGGACTGTGCCAATGGGACCTTCGGCGGAGCTCCTGTGGGGCCACGAAACGTGTGAGGGGTGTGCCGACATGAGTGGCGGGGACGCATGCGGACTGTTCCAATGGAACCCTCGGCGGAGCTCCTATGGGGCCACAAACGTGTGAGGGGTGGGTCGAAATTAATGGCGGGGGCGCATGCGGACTGTGCCACTGGGACATTCGGCGGAGCTCCTATGGGGCCACGAAACGTGTGAGGGGTGTGCCGAAATCACACACCCACAAGGACCTTCGGTGGAGCTCTCTATGGGGCCACGAAACGTGTGAGGGGTGGGCCGAAATGGGTGTGCGGGACGCATGCGCACACACCCACTGAGACCTTCGGTGGAGTTCCCGATGGTGCCACGAAGCGTGTGAGGGGCGTGCCAAAATGGGTGTGCGGGACGCATGCGGGCACACCCACTGGGACCTTCGGTGGAGCTCCCTATGGGGCCACGAAACGTGTGAGGGGTGGGCCGAAATGGGTGTGCGGGACGCATGCGGGCACACCCACTGGGACCTTCGGTGGAACTCCCTATGGGGCCACGAAACGTGTGCGGGATGTGCCGAAATGGGTGTGCGGGACACATGCGGGCACACCCAGTGGGACCTTCGGTGGAGCTCCCTATGAAGCCACGAAACGTGTGCGGGATGTGCCGAAATGGGTGTGCGGGGCACATGCGGGCACACCCACTGGGACCTTCGGTTGGGCTCCCCATGGGGCCGCGGAGCGTGTGAGGGATGCGCCGAAGAGGGCACACCCACTGGTACCTTCGGTGGAGCTCCCTATGGGGCCACGAAACGTGTGAAGGTGTGCCGGAGTGGGCGTGCGGGACGCATGCGGGCACACACCGTGGGACCTTCGGTGGAG